GCAAGCTATGGTATGTCATTGAATTCCCTACTTCCAGCCTTTGCCCCTTTTGACCTTTACAACATAGTTCAGAATGAAACCCTGAGCCCTATGACTCTGAAATACCTGAATGACAGCGTTTTGGTAGCAGTCTTTCTGTGGTTCTGCCCTGTGTGTAGCAACAGGCCCCTAGCAACCCTGCTGTGCAAATCCTCGCATCCCTCCATATCTTCAGTAGGGAATGTTTTCCACTGCTGCATCTCTCTGCTCCTCACTTGCCTCGGTTCCCCCAAATCTCCCTGTGGGGCCACAGCAGATTGCAGCCTCTAGTATCGTGTGAAACGACAACTTGGCTTTTCATCTGAAAAGTCCCTGCTGTGAAGAAAGAAAAAAAGCAGTTTTGGCCCAAAGAAGAACACAGCGCTTTCCCCCCACACTATTATTACCACAGGCAATAGTTGTCACTGGGGCCTAGGTCTATTGGGCAGTTCATCTGCACGCTGGTGTTCGTGCCTACACAGAGATGTTTCATTCTCCTCTCCTGAGCTTGTCCTTGTTTCTATTCTGTGGGTTGTTTAACAGCAGGAACAAGCTACTAAGAAGAGGGAGAGAGTCATGAGTGAAACAGGAACAGAGTTGCCAAAACAAGAGAAGAAACGGCCAAAAGCCTCCCAGCAACCAGAGGAGCTGGAAGCACCGAAGCAGTTTACCCCCTTTGATTACAGCAAGTCCAACTTCAAAGTGTTTGCGGGTAAGATCTGGATCTCTTGCTGCTTGAGTGCTGTAGGCTGTGGAAAACGTTGCCAGCTGAGCCCTGAGAAGGCTGTGTGTGAATATAGGTGCCAAGGCAGTACAAACTGTTATAATGCACTTACCTTACAGTGGGGAAATACTAAAAGAAATTAAGTTGGGGAATGTACAGTTTAGCATCCCTTTTCTGGTTTGGAAACAAAATCCTGAAACCGTCGGCCAAGGGGATTGTGAATTCATATTTTGCTTCTTTTCTCTGTAGAAAAAGTCGTCTGTTTAATTGGACCACAGGAACTAGGAGGCAAAGGAGATTTGACTCCTTTGTAACAAGTATCTATTGGAAAGCATCTCCTGCCCTTAAGAGACTGCTGTGGGTTTTAGCATGTGGGAGACTGCAGTGAAACCTTACTATCGGAGGAACACCGTGGAATGTACTGTTCTTTCTGGAAAATTTTAGTGACAGCTTCTCTCCTCTCTCCCTTAGGAAGCAGCAAATCGAAGCAGTCGCCGCAATTTGATCCTGCCAAGCAAGCTTATGCAGGCAAGGTACAGGCATGTCATGAAAGAAGGAACAGAAATGTTGATGATAGCATGTACCCAGCTGGGGACTCGCTGGGGAAGGCAGATGACTTTTTCTGGCTCTGCAGAATGTTCCCTAACAGCGCTTGGTACCAAGGTGCAGCTTCCAACCATGAGGTCATACTTTGTATTATAACCTCTTCCCGTTCAGGAAGAGCTTTTTTGGGGCCCCTCAGACCCTCTTGTTGTTTCCCACCTCTTCATACATTGTTCACACCTGCACCCCCATGTATGCTCCCACATACATCACGTGACACTTAGACCACAGCACACCACCACAAATTCCTAATACCAAATTCAAGGCACTCTCAAAAATCTCAAAGTCAGTCCAGTTATTCCAGGCCGTGGCACGTTTGCGTGTTGCCCACATTCTCCACCAAGTACCGTCATTAGGAAAACAGTCTCAGCTCAGAGAATTTTTACTTAATTTATTGCTAATTGAGATTGAGAGATTGAAGAGAAGAAAGAAAATATAAACAATCAAATACGTACTTGGGGAAACCTGTGACTAGCACAGGGCAGTTCCTGTGTCGTCGTCGTCCCCCACCCGAGGTCACCCCTGCAAACCTGGGTTACCTAAACCCCACCATGTATACCCTACATAGTGCTCATGCGTGGAGCATTTGGGTGCTGATGCGTGACGTCCGTGAGCATTCAGGCATGAAGTAATAGGGTGCCCATGCATGAACTCATTGAGTGCTCAAGCGTTAAGTTCTGAAGCTCATTTCTTGCATTTCAGCCTCTTTCCTGTGCATTCTACCTTTCTGCATGTTTAACTGGAGGGTAAATGGTACCAGGGAGCATCTTAGATATTCATTAAAAATCATATTTTAGAACCTGAACAAGTTTATGCCTAATAGTGTAGGAAACAGTTTCCTGTGCAATCCCTTTTCTGTGTCAGCTGAAACTTGTTTCAGGAGAAAAAAAGAAACCGACTGGTGAATTTGGGACAACCTGTACAGATCTTTCCATCTAGATGGGTAAGATTTGTTGTCAGTGGGGTATTGTGCCTCACGTGTCAAGGTTAGACCATAGAACAGCACTTACTCAGATGCATTCAGCAGTTATGCATGTAAAGAAGTCCTAAAACATAAAAGATAACAGTGTAAATGAGCAGTGTTCCTTGAAGTTGGAGGGACCTGACAGCACATGAATCTCATGGAATATACTGTATTTGGCAGCTACCTCACTGTGGTGGTGTTTTGGTGGTTTTTTTTTCTTCTGTGCAGAAATTTGCTGGAGCTAACAAACTTCAACAATCTGGAAACCGAAGCATGTCCTACCTGGCAGGGAAAGCTGATAGGTATGTTGTCAGCCTGCTGTCCTCCCGCAGTGGTGGAGTGTTTACACGCCTGTGCCCCGGAGCTATGGGCAAAGCATAGCTATTGTCCTCTATTGCTGTGGGAGCTTAAGCACATGTTTAATGGGAAGAGGTTGCGTAACACCTACTCACGTTCATTTCACAGCTTGACGTTCATTTCACAGCTTGACGTCAGTTTAAAGGAAAAAAGGGGGGAAAAAAAGCTTAGGATTAATGCAATCAAAGACAATTCTGGGTGGAAGGTTTGAAAAGCTGAGGTAAAAGTTTGTGTTAATAGATGTGGGAGTTGCTTTCTTTGGCCACAAAGATAGGTGGAGGTGGGAAGAAGGGTTTGCCCAGCTTGGGAGGAAGATAAATAACAGTACTGCCAAATACGAACATTCTTATTCTGTATTTTAGATACTTAACATGTAGCTTGGGAGGCTTGATCCTTGTGTATTGTTTAGTCATAAAAGAGCAACAGTACATAAGGGCAGCATTAGAGGGAGAAAGGTTCTGTCTGCATCATGACCCTTTCTCAACAGAATCATTGTAACCTATCGCAGGTTTTCAATCCTGAGTGAATTTAGAGCAAGAGTTAAAGTCTTTCTGTAACTGTCTTTTGCAGGGGATCCAGGCACCACTGGCCAAAGAGATAGTCCTTGTTACAGGACCTGCGGGAGTTGCTGCTGAACGAAACAATAGTCAGAAGTGTTGTCACCATGGGAAGGCAAATACCAGTCACGGAGCAGTTTTTGTACAGAAAAGTTTTTAAACCCATTAAAATCCTTTTTTTCCAAAAGGAAAAACATCTTAATTGATTTCACTTTTATTATATTCACATTGTTTTTTTTCTCATTATACTCACAATGTTGCTTTGTTTCTAATTTTGAAAGTTTATCCTGTGTCCTCAAACACAGTTAGGCTAAACTTGTCACTTTTTGGAGTTACTTGAAGTCCAGAACCAGCATGTTAGTGGAGTATGAGAGGAATCTCTTGGCATCTCTAAAGCCAGCACAAAAATAATAGAGAGATTCAGTAGATGTGACTCAAACCCCAGCGGTCCAGAGGAGGAAGTAAGGCCAGGCTGCCTTTTGTGTTAGACCTTGCTTACAAATTGAACTACGCAGCTCATCTCTTACGAGACAAGGTAATATGAAAAATGAGTGTGTTTACTGGGTAGTGTTTGTGTATTTTTAAGCAAAGATTTTAAGGGAAAAAAAGAGTTAGGGTACTTTTTGGATCAGAGACCAGTGGTTTCACCATAAAGTTATAGAGTGAAAGCAATAGCATTAGGTAGAAGGTAAAAACCACAGGGCACTATTGGGTTGGGGAAAGCCAGCGAGGTTCTGTGCTGCAGCTGAATCTCAGTACAGCTATACTAACACTTCATAGTTTTAAATACCCACAGTGAGTTATCCTGAAGTCTTTGTAGACAGAGTATCAGCCCATGGTTTGATGGATGGATGGCAGAGCTTACTCTAAATGCTGACAACTGAAGGCTGGTAATGCTGCTGCGAAAGAGGTAAGCAACACCACAGTTTACAGTCGGGACTGCCGAAGGGTAGGGCTGATGTGACTTTGCTCGAAGCCACATTAAATCAGTGGCAGAGCTGCTTCCTGGGTTCCTGGTCGCTACGCTGAGCAATGGATCTTGCTCCCTTTCCCAAAGGCCTTGTCTTTACTCTGTGGTTTCCTTTTCTGACTAAGGATTTTCCATTTCATGCTCACCTGTTTTGGCAATGACAGAATTTACTTCTCTGACTGCTAGGCTAGGTGCAAGGACCGAGCAGGTAGTGGTAAAAACTTCCCTCTCTGTTCCTAACCCGAGGGCTTTATTTTACAAAGACTGTGAGGAGGTTTGGGATTCTGTTTGTTTGTTTGTTTTCAATCTTTTCCCATATTTCTGGGGAGTGGAAGGAACAGACGGGAGGGTTTTTCCTCCTTAGGTATCTTTGTATGAACAGTGCTGACCGAGCAGCATCGTGACGGTAGACCAGAGTCTCTTTCCGCTCATAAAACCTGCTTGCATGGCTGAATGTCGGAGAGTGTTTTTGAAAAGAGGCAGTGAAATAGCAGTCGCCTCTAAGTGCGTTTGCAGGGGCTGCCAATTCCCCTTCTTGTCCGCTTTACCAGTTCTGATGTTTCTGTAACCTGAAGAACGAGTAACTCTTAGCAAAAGCCCCATTGGCTGCAGAGATACTGAAATTCCTGTCGTTTCTTTAAGTCCTCTACTTAAAATTCTACACAAGGTGCATATCAAGGATGGTTTTAATTTTGGTGGTCTTCTGTTTTCCCTTTACAAGTTGCGGCTTACTGCCCTAATTTTGAAACTGCCTTTTGTGGAAGCGACTAGCAAATCCATGCATGCTTTGTTCACCTGGTTGCACCTATGAATCTGGTGAAGTTGCAGCACCGGAATCCCGTAATCTAAGACTATTTTGCCTTCAACGGCTAGCAGCCGTTCAAGATCTTTGCCTAACCTGGCTGGAGAGCTACTCTTGGTGCGCCCTTGGTGAATTTCTCCCAAAGCCTGCTCTTCGCAGCGCGCACCGCGTTTTGTAACGGTTCCGAGCGCACGCCGGGGCACACGAACACGAGGGAGGAATCTGCTTTCATAACGTCTAACCCTTGAAACATCCCAGCGAGACTTCTTTTTCCGAAAGTCGTTAGCCGCTCGCGTTCCTGCAGGCGGCGGAGCTCTGCCGAGGGCTCGGC